TGATCGTATTTATTCGTTAAAGATCTCAGCATATCCTGTTGTACGTGTGAAGGGCTCAGGGTTGAGTTATTGCTATAGCTGTGTTAGCTGACTGGATGTGTTCCACCTGAGCAACGGTCTGATCACCGAGCGCTTGAACGGAGCTGTCTGCGTGATTCTGGCCCAGAATGGTCTCCGAGTATCTACATTTTGCAGAGCCACACTGACAACGGAAGTACTTTTTCTTGATTTGCCAGTAGGGATCACCATAGTCAAACCTGATGAAAGAGCAAAGAAAATCTGTTTTAATTCAAGCAACCTGGGGAATTGCTTTGATTACAAATATATCAATGGATACATCAAACAAATAATGAGGAAAAAAAAGAGCTGGAAGAAAAAAAATATAAAGGTTTACCCAAGCTCATCTCCAGCTTGAATAGCCTTGCTTGCATAGAGTGCAATTCGAGGAAAGCGCATGTCCTGGTGTTTGGTGAACACCCGTACCGGGAATAGATTGGGTTCACAAAGGTGATTCATAAACCTACTAACATTACCATAAAACTGGGCATCAATGCAGTAGACCTCTCCAACCTAGAAAAAAAATCACCATTAAATAAACACAAATATAAAAACGATTCAAAAGAGGTGTGCTTGAGCTCTGTTCACATTTTAATATACTTTAGCGCCCCCTGAAGATGACATGTATGAAAAGCACTCACTTGAGAAAATGATAATCTTATATTTTAGCATCATTTTGACAAGACTTGCCTTATTGTCTAGGTTGAACATGTACGAGTCATATTCTCGAACATTAGCTTCTCCATCTGAAATGATTTCACCTGCAAACCTGCACACAGAGAAAAACCCTCAGGGCACAAGTATTGGACCAAAACAGCATGAGATTAATCATGCCTGAATAATTGATAATTCCCCTAATGGCTTTCATTTTTGTAGCAAATTTGCATTAAATTAATATGCTTGACACTGCAGTCAGTAGGAGAGTTCTTCAGAATGCAGGCATAGCTTCCTTATTATGCTGCATGTAATTTTTTCATTTTAAAATACGTTTATACCAGGTTAACATGAAGAGACAACTACGATAAAAGCCATTTATAATGGGCCCCAGCAAACTTCCAACTAAGCCTCACGATAACTTAAAATCATTTAAAATAAGCCAAAACAACTAATGGAAATATTCCAATATTATTTTAATATTAATTAATTTATTTTTCTTTAAAGAACCAGGATTCCCAGGATTGTCCTGCATATATCATTTTAAACGTGTCATTTGTACACCTGAAATTTTTATAACAAATATACATTTTTTCTAGATGTAACAAGCCCTAAAAAATTATTGGGTAGAAATTAGCAAAATTACAGTGGTGTGAAAAAGTGTTGGCCCCCTTCCTGTTTTTT